GATTCCACCTGGGAGCAAATGCTTGCCAAGCTCCAGGGTATATATACATTTTAACCCAGCGTCAGTTGTAGTATAGGGACTGGTGGAGCCCTGAGCCTCATGGGAGTGAGTTTGACCATTTCTTCTGGTAAATTCTCCCAAACTCCCCTGGGCAAACAGGCTGCACTCCAGAAAGACCTGGGCCTCCGCTGAAAGCAGTTTTCCTCTCCTCTGTTCCCAAAACAACATTCCATCCATCAACAGCATAAGCCTCCAAGACAAACTGCCAAATGGTAAGAGAGCTAACATAGAAAGGGCAGGATAGACTGGTCATTGAAAGCAATTCCTGACTGAAGTCCATGGGATGCAGTGATACCCGTTTGGAATAAACAGCCTCAGGCAGCCAAATGGCCCATTGCACATTCCACATCATCACTGACTATATCTTGCAGCTGTTTCCTGTGTCCACACCCACACTGGGAACCCCCAAGGTAGGACACTTGCATTCTCTGGGCTGCTTCTCCCTTTGAATGCCTAGTGGCACTCAGCAGTGCCCCAGACAGGGATCAAGTTCCCAATCTCCCTGGTCATCTCCTCCCAGTGACCCTGACCTGACCCATCCTGCCATATGGCTCCTTGTATTTTGGTTAGTTCCTCCCAGACTCCAGCCCTTGGCCTTCTCTGTCCTCTCCATCACGTTTTTGGAGTCCATTTCTTCTTTCCCCTTCCTGGTCCATCCACCAGCCCTGACACATGACTTTCCTTGTATCTTTCAGTCCTGTACTTCCATTGGTTAGCTTCACACCAGGCATCCTGGAACATGACTCATGCCCTCCCCAGCTTGTGGGCACTCAGACTGGGGGGGGGGGGGCAGAAGGGAAAGAGTGTTTGGACAGGAACCCAGCTTGGGGTGGGGATGTGGGTAAGACCAAGAGGGCCCATCAGACCAAAAGCCAGGTTAGAGGCTGGGGATGGTGACATGCCTGTTGTTTCAAAGGCCCAGTAATTATGCACATCTGGGTATAATTACACGTAGAGGATTTAGATTGTAAAGAAGAATACTGCCTCTTGAGTGTGTATTATGAATTAGAGTTCTTGTACTGAGGGCATGTAGAATTAGGCTTAAAGTATATAGACACTTAAAACACTTTAGGGTTATCGTGAGGAGAATGATAGGTTTTCAAATATGTTAGCAAGTTTGGACTCTATCTTCATTTACAAGCTTACCTGGTCTCTCCTCCAGATCCCCTCCCCTTCCCTGGGCATTCCCAAACTGTGAATTAGAATGACCAGGGAATGCTTTAAAATCCTGGTGCCTGCCTTCCCCTCATCCCTGTGGTATAGTTGGCATCCAGAGTTTTCAAAGCCCCCAAGTGACTCTAATGGACAACAAAATTGGGAAGTCACTGGGCTCTGCCATTTCAACCTGCGTGATCATCAGCAGACCTTCCAGTAACACATAATAACCCAGTCTATGCTAACTGTGGGGACTAGAATCCTCACCTGGGTCCCAGGTTAGAAGCCTGCCTTATAGCAGAGGCAGACAGGGAGGGTGGAGGGGGCTGAAGAGAGAGGCTGGGTGGTGAGATCAATTAGCCAGAGGGCCTCATTCCACACCCCACCCCCACCCCCAGAAAAAAAAACCCCAAACCCATTGCCATAGAGTGAGTTCTGATTCATGTAGACCCCATATGTTCAGAGTAGAACTGCTCTGGAGAGTAATCTTCATGAAAGCAAATCATTAGTTCTTTCTTCCATGGTACCACTGAGTGGGTAAACTGCCAACAAGAGCAAACTGTGCCACCCTTCCAGCACCAGGGTGGACTGTCAGAAGGAAAACGACTTCAACAATTCTGGAGCTTCAAGAAGGTTACTCGAAGCTCTCATTGAGTGCTGGCTTTTCCATGTGACTTTTGAGTCCATCATTCAAGTTAGCATTCAAGTTTAGCAGGGAGGATACTTGCTGAAATTCTATATGAGCCGCAGTAAGAAAAGCTTGTGTTTTTGAGCACCTAACACCTGACACATATTAACTACTTCATATACACTACCTTGTTTTTGTTCTTAAAATAACCATGGGATTGGTCCTATTATTCTTCCCATTTTACAGGTGAAGAAATGAAGGCTTAGAGAGATCAAGTAGCTTGCCCAGGGCTAACCAGCTAGTCTTCACCATCATCTCTCCCAAAGATGATTAAAAAGGACAGCATCATTGTTTTTAAGTAGACTAGAGATGTTTCCAGAACCACCCCATATGGGTTAGTTGTGTGAAACTAGACACAATTTCTAGGTTTTTTTTCTATAGAAAAAAAATATAGACAGCCCGCTCTTAAAAAACATCAGTCAAAGACTAGGAAGCATAAGGCCCCAAGAACTGAGCAGGCAATTAAGAAAAGTGAGAAGATACAAGAATGGAAGCTGCTCTGGTAGCGGTGTGGTTACAAGTCGGTCTGCTAACCTCAAGGTCAGCAGTTCGAAACTACCAGCTGTTCCTCAGGAGAAAGATGAGGCTTTCTGCTCCTGTAAAGAGCTCCTTTTTGCAGCCTCGGAAAAACCCCTATGTAGGGTTGCTATGAGTTGGAACCAACTCCACGGCATACAATCACCACCATGACCAGTACAGGCAGAGGGTTGTGAGGAGGGGGTGGTACCAGCATTCCCCAACTCCACCACACCCCAGGTTAACAGAGAAACCTGGATTGGACATGGCCTTGAGGAGTTGGTTCACTTCCTGTACTTTCTATTCCTAATTCCTTCCCTTGCTGATGAAATTGGAGATACCAGGGGCAGGTGTGAAATGCCAGCTTCTGGGTCAGAGGCTAACCTGAAAGCAGATTTTAGAAACCTAGAGGTCTGAACCACTGTGGGGATTAAAATAGGTTTCTTACAGTCAGCTCCAAATGGATTCCCTAACTGGGCAAGAGCCCTCCACCGCACCCTCACCTACTCCCCACAACCCTGCTACTTGGACTCTCCTTCTTCTCTCCTCTTGTTGATAAGTGCTGTTGAGTCAATGTGACTTACAGCGACCCTGTATAAGGTTTCTGAGGAGTGGCTGGAGAGCATGAATCACCATCCATGTAGCTCAAAGCGACCTTGCAGTCCAGTGCATTAACCTGCAGCGCCACACCAGCCCCCTCCTCTTAGGGCAGAGTAATACAGAATTTATTGCTGCAGCCAGAGGCTATAAAAGCTCAGCTCTACCCTGTTGCCAGGGATGGAAAATCTCTTTCCAGGATTCGAGTGGGGCCACAGGAGGATGCGCAGGAGGCTCAGTGTGCAGGAGGGTGGGGAACTCACAGCCTGGCCTAAGGTTCAGTCTCAAGGACAGAGGGTTTGGATTGAAGGGTAGAGGAGATCAGATCACAGCCTCCCGGATTTTCTAGGAAAAGAAAACAATTGAAAAAATCCCCCTCAAGTTTAGATGGAGAAGCAGCAGGTCTTCTGGCACTGTCAGCTTCCTTGTCTCCACACACAATCTCATCTGTCCCTGCCAGAGTCTGACCAACTAGCTTGGGCCTGCTGAGTAAGTAAGGGCCACTAGCATTCCATCTATGACCACCCCGCACTCTGTTTGTAGCCCAGGTCAGTGACAACTCAGTGGTCTTGAGGCAAATCAGCAGTCTACTGTGTCTCCTACACCCCTGCTATCTATGGTGATGTTACTGGATCCTTAGCTGACTCTCCAAACTCTGTCCCTTCCCCCTCAAGGCCCCTGTCTCTGAGAGGAGAGATGGTGGCTCAGGAAACAGTCCTACAGGCTCTGGGCTTCCTTAACTGCCCAGCTATCTAATCTGTTTTACTTCTCCATTCCCCCAAAGACACATACTCACCAAGAGACCAGTGGGTGTTGAGTTGAGTCTGACTCATGGAGAAACTATATGTGTCAGGGTAGAACTGTGACTGATACGGTTTTCAGTGACTGATTTTTTTGGAAGTAGATTGCCAAGACTTTCTTCCAAGGTGCTCAAACTTCCAACCTTTTTGTTAGCAGCTGAACAGGCTAAGAGTTAACTGTTTGCACCATCCAAAGACTCAAGAGCATCACAAGGCATCTTGATACCAGGAGAGGGGCAATATGAGGAGAGCGGAGATCAGGAGACTCCCTCTGAATACCTTAACCCTCACACACCTTCTTTTTCTCCAGTATTCTTGTTGCTAGATCTCTTAGCCACTCCTCACCCTTCCAAGCTTATTTCCTGCTAACCTCCTAGCAAGTCCACTCTTCCATTCCTCAGAGGCCAGGCTCATCTTGCACAATATACAACTGAGAAAATCCTGGTCTCCCTCCCCCTCTCTCCAACCTGGACCCAAACATAGCAGTTAGTCAGCTCTCCTTCCAGGCCTGCTAACAGGTGCTGTCTGTCCCACAGCAAGAAGACCTGCTCAGATACCTCTCCCTAGGTCCTCCTCCTGTAAGAATCCCAGTCTTCTAGATCAAAGAGGCAAAGCAGCGTTTTCAGTTTAGGAGGGACCAGGGATGATCAGTTCTGCCCAGAAACCCTGTTTCCCTAGCCAGGAAAGTGAAACAGAAGGAGAGGTGGTTCACAAACTGGAAATGTCACCTCACTGCCCTGTACTGACTCTGGAAACAAAGCCCAGAGAAGGAAAGGGATTTACCCAAGATCTCATAGAAACAGGAAAATTCCAGGCCTTCTGATTTCTAGCCCAGGATTTCCCCCACTAGAGCACACAGAAATGACTGCAAGATGGGAGTCGGGTTACTTAGTTAATGCTTTTGAAAGAAGTTCAACAGCTGGAAGTTCATGGTAAGATGAGGAAGTGGGGAAAAGAGTGGGGTAAAGAGAGGGCAGGGCACCCAAGGCAAAGAGGTGAAAGGCTGGAAACTGAAGTGGTTGGAGAGGGGCGCAGAGAAGTTTGGTGGGGACAATGGGGTAAAAAGGGGCAGGAAAGCTTCCAGAGTGACCTTGGGCAAGTTATGTCCCTGTCCTGACCTTAATCTTGCCGTTGGAAGGGCTTGGCGCTACTGAGACCCCGAGGTGCGGACACGTGTGCCTCACCTTCTTGAAGTCGGCAGTGAAAGAGATCAGAGTCCCGTCGGACTTGCGCAGCTCCAAGCTAATGCTGTCGGCGTCGCTGTCCGCCTGCAGGGTCTCCTCCGTCACCTGGCCGTCCGGCAGCCGCACACGGACCCGCAGCTCTGCCGGCGGGCCAGCCCCAGCGCCCACGCCGCGCGGCGCCCCCAGCAGCGGCAATAGCAGCGGCAGCAGCAGCAGCGCCGGGGGAGCCGAGGGGATTCCACGGCGGCCCTGAGGGCGCATCCCCGGGGGCCGCCGCCGCCGCCTTCCGCGGCCCCGGCGCGCCGCGTGGGGGAGAAGAGAGGCGCTGCTAAACTTCGCCCGAAGTTGGTGACTAGTTCAGGGCTCCAGGGATCGCTTCCCCGGTCGCTTGGTCGCAGGGTTTCCCCCGCAACGTGGCGCGGTCACACGTGTGCAGCGCTCAGCCGCGCCCCCCGGCGGCTTGCAGTTGGAGACGGCTATCCCGGAGCCCGCTAGCCGCCCAGGCCCCCAACTCCGACGCTTCCAGACTCTGTTTTGCACTTTTCATTCAATCCCACCTCCCGTCACTTCCTTCAGAAAACAGAAACCACCAGGACCTGCCTTAAAGAGACAGCGTACTTCTCCGCCCTTAAAGGGCCAGCTGCGCCCGGACTCCAGCGGCGTGGGCGGGCGAAGGGCTCGCCGTAAAGCGGTTTTGCGGAAACCGTGCTTTCTCAATCAGACGCTCTCTGAGCCGCGCCCCAGCCACAGTGTCAGGAGTCTGCTCTCAGGGCAGACCCTCTCCTCCCAGCAAGGGCGGAGCGGGTGACTCTCCACCCCCTTCTTCCCCCAATACCCTCCACCCCTTTTTTTTGGCTTGTGCTTGTGCCACGTGGACGAAATAATCGAGCTTAGTTTTTTTTACGGATTTGGTTTGGCCTTTTTTTGAGTTTCCCTGAGACAGCGAATTTCTAAAAAAAAAAAAGCTTCTGCAAAGACTGACTTCGCCTCTCACTCTGCCCTTTTTATTGTCTTGATTTTGGAGAGCTGGAGTTTTAGCTCTGCTTTGACACCAGTCATTTGTGACATCTGGATAAGTTAGGCTCCCTCTCTGGACCCAACCCTGAAGCTCCCACAATTTGGGTGACCCTGTGCGCGCCTTCCCCTTTCAGTCCAGCCTTCCTCACTTCACTTCCTCCTTTCACCGTCTTCCCACCTCTCCAGACCCCAGTACTGTCTCCCAGTAATAAAACCAAACCCGGTGTCATCAAAGCCATTCAGAGATCTCAAACCACATGGTAGAATCTTCAGGAATTCAGGACCCTGACACTCCAACCTCATTGTTCTCACATTCTCGTCCAAGTCCCAAGAAAATATGTAGGCTCTAGAAAGCACCCCAACAGTGACAGTCTGTTGAGTGCTTTGGGCATGTTTTTAAAATTCTTTAGGCCTAAGTGTCCCTGTGTTATAATAAGGGATGCTGAGACCCACACTGTCCTGTCAGTTCTATGGAAGAGAAATCCCCAGAATGATGCTCAGGTCCTATGGTTTTCTCCTGTCTGTTGCCTTAGGTCCCTTGTTCTTTATAAAATCTTGATTTTAGAAGGGTGGAAAACTTTGCTCTGTAACTTCCTCCCATTCTGGGCTATTAGCAGGATCAAAGGTGAGAAAGAACTGGCACTCACCAATCACAGCAGCAGATGTCTGTGAACTTCAGGGTCAAACCTAGAATCCAGTTTCTTATTGCCCATCCAGGGCCCTACCTACTACACTCTGTTGCCTACATTTAGGGTTGAAATGGATTTATGAGATTAACTAATCTAGTGTTTTCCAAGTTTGCTTTACTAAAAGAATCTCCCAAGTGCTTGTTAAAAACACGGATTCCTAGGTCCCTGAATCTACTGACTCTGATTCTCTAGAAAAAAGAATAGAGAATTAGCATTTTTAACAAGGATGCCTGATATAAAGTGTTGATAGTTGGTACTGGTAGCTAAACGTTGTTGTGTGCGGTTGCATCGGTTTCCACTCTTAGTGACCCTATATAGGGTTTCCAAGAGCGGCTGGCGGGTTTGAACAACCGACCTTGTGCCACACTAGTGCTCAGGGTTAGGGTTAAACATAGAGGATCCATAACAAATAGCATCTGTCTGGGGGAACCATCCTGGTACCTAAAGAGTATCTTCACATTAGAGAGAGAGAAGGCAGGCCACCAAAGAACCACTGGGCTAACACAAGGACTGTTCACCTGGGGACTCTCACCCTGAGCTGGCAGGACTGGAGCAGAGATGTCCAGAGTCTCAAAATTGGTCTCCTGCTTGGCTGGGAATTCAGTCTGAACCCAGCCTTAAAGCTAGGTCTTTCCATAAGTCAGCCCACATAGTCAGCAAGGACCTCAACCATATTTCCTCAATTCCCTATCCTTCACCAGCCACATTTCCAAGCCCCTTCCTCTCCATCACCACATGATTCCAGTCAAGGTAGGCAAAGAAGCCATTGATGTCTAATTTAGGACCATATCAGCTGGGGCCTTTTTCTGATGCTTCCTTGTCTCTTTTCAAATACTGGCTTTGGGAACTAGCATGACATTTGCTTTTTCCCACCTCCTCCTCATAATCATTAACTTACTTTCTTATTTACTTCAATAAACCAGAGCTTTCTTTTAAGATACAGAATTTCTACTCTTACTTCTTTAAGTAGACTCTGTCTTATCCCCATTCCTTCCTTTGATGTAACCTGGCTAACTCTGTAAGACCCAGGGCAAAACTCATGTTTCTCAGAAAGACCTTCTCAGTTACTCGACCAAAGCGGTATTTCACACTTCCCTCGTCTGCCTCTAGACTCAAATGATACTAATTATTATTAGAGCAGCTACCATTCATTGTATTCTTATTATATCCAGGTTCTGTGCCAAACCTTTTATGTGTATCATCTTATTTAATCTTCCTGGCAACCCTCCAAACTTAGGTTCTATTCTTATCCTGTTTTTACTGACTAGAAATCCAAGGCTTAGAGAGGTCAAGTAACATTTCCAAGGTCACGCAAGTATCAGAACCAGAAGGGACTCAATCACAAGTTTGTCTGATCACAAAGTCAAAGTCCTTGCTTAAAATGTATATATGAGGGAGCTTCAAAATGTTCATGGAAGAAGTAAAAGATAATGGAATTTTTTCATGAACTTTTTGGACTGTATATATATATATGTTGTTTAATGCCGTTGAGTCGATTCTGACTCATAGTGACCCCGTGTAGGGTTTCTGAGGAGCAGTAGGTATTTGAGCCACCACTTTATGGTTCAAATTGACCTTGCAGTCCAGTGTTTATCCTATAGAGCCACACCAGGACTCATTCTCTCTCTTTATATCTATCTATCTGTATGTATATATACTTCAAAAATGTTCAGTGCTATTAATTACATTCACCAAGTTGTATCACCATCATCACTATTCATTTCCAAAGATTTCATTGTAATCATGCACTAACCTTTGTCTCAACTCATTTGCCTATTCTACATATTTCATGTAAGTCAATCATACAATATTTATCCTTTGGTCTGACTTATTTCACTCAGTATAAAGTCTTCACAGTTCATCCATGTACAGCAGAAAGTTCTTGCTTTTAACCACAGTAGCGTCTGCCAATCTCTAACCCTTGCTTTCTTCCCAACTTCCTGAGCATTTCTGTTATCTAACGGTTTTTTTGTGTGTGGTAATCTTGTATGCCCAGTGAGGTTGTCAGTTAGTTCAAACAGACCAGCCCCGTGCTGGGAACAGACAGTGCTTCCCTAAAACCATCCAGGCATAGAAGGTCCATTCATGTTAGATGTAAAGGCTCTCAGAGGAAGAGCTCTAACAAGCCTAATTACCCTGACTACAACCAAACAGCTCTCATTGTCAGAAAGTTCTTTATGTCTAATCGTAAGCGTTCTGCAACACCATAAACCAATTTCCTTTCCTGTCTGATCTCCAGCTCTAGGAAAGCAGTTTCACACAGTGGTTTGGAGCAAGGCATCTGGATCCTGTTCTTGGAGCTCAACCTCTCACAAACTATGTGATTCGGTGAACCTGCCTCCTCATCTATAAAATGGGCATATAGATGCTTATTGTCTAGATTATTTTAAGAATTAAATAAAATCTTGTGCATAAACCACTTAGCACGTGTTTGTCACCTAGTAAAGGTCCAATGAATGGTAGACAGCTGCCATTGAGTCGATTGTGACTCATGGTAACTGTATGAGAACAGAACAAAACCGTTGCTTGGTTGGTCCTGTGTTGTCCTCAAGATTGCCACCATGTTTTAGTCAATCATTATTTTTACTGTGCCAGTCCATTTCATTGAGGGCCTCCCATGCTCTCATTGGTGCTCTATCTACTGCACCAAACATGATGTCCTCCTCCAGCAACTGATCCCTTTGGATGCCATGTCTAATACAAGTGAGTTCACAATGTTCTGTTATGATCTATAAAGTTTTCATTGGTTCTCGTGTGGTGCTTTAGGATAAGCATTGGACTGTTAGCAGCAAGGTCAGTGGTTCAAACTCACCAGCTGCTCCTCGGAAACCCAATACAGGGTCATGATGAGTCAGAACAGACACGATGGCCCTTAATAACAACAAATTTCAGAAGTAGACTGGCATGCCTTTCTTTCTAGTTTGTCTTAATCTGGAAGCTCTGCTGAATGCTGTCCATCACGACACTGCTGGGATACCTTAGCTGGTGGCATAGCTTCCAGCATTATAGCCACATGCCAACCACCACAGTATGACAAGCTGAGAGATGGGTGGTGGTGGTCAGTGTTGGATTACCCAATAAGCAAAGTTAGCACTGGCTTCCTTGGGCTTACTTAGTTACTAATATGTACTGAACACTCACATTTTTTCACCACATCAACGAATCTGTTTCTAGGTATGGCTGGCCTCTCTCTCTCCCAACCCCAACTTTCTACAAAATCAAAGCTTTTTACAAAATTTGCCATCCTAACAGGTAAGACCACCATTCATCTATCATTTGTCACACTGTGTGTTGCTGTGATGTTATATACCAGCAGGGTCACTCATGGTGGACAGGTTTCAGTGAAGCTTCCAGACTAAGACAGACTAAAAAAAAAGGAGAGGAGGATCAGTTTTGAATGGCTAGTCACTGAAAACCTTATGAGTAGCAGAGGAGCATCATCTGATAATAGTGCCAAAAGATGAGTTCTTCAGATTGGAAAGCATTCAAAATATAACAGACAAAGAGCTGCCTCCTTAAAGCAGAATTGACCATAATGATTTGGATGGAGCAAAG